TATTATTTTAGGTTTTTCCTGGTTATTTATTTATTTTTAGGTTATGTTTCTAATGTTTTGTAATTTATGTTATAAAGTGTTTACTCTTCTTATGAAGCATGTTGTGGCTGCCTTAAATAGGTTTTAAATTTAAAAATTAAGCTTATGTATTATTTTTGTGAGCATGTATTATTGTAATTACCTCTGACTGTCCTTAAAGAAATAAATAATGGGAGAGAAAAAAACAACTGTGTATTTATAAAGACAATTTATTAAACATGTTTTCTGTAAAATAGTTTGATTAAAACTGACACTTACGAGTACAACAAACAACTATAAAATTCTTTGTATTTTCACGCTAACGCTATATTATATGATTATAGGTCCTGTTAAACACCTGGAATTGATCTCTTGTGTCGCTCGCTGAACTTATGTATTTGCAATGTCAACTCCAAGCCGTAATATTAAAGCTTACCCTAAAACATTTTGAACACGTTGCCTAACGTATCACTTTAGGATGGGAGAGGTTGCATAGTCGCATTTAAAACTATGTATACATACTATATATTTTAACTGTTTTATTTTATTAATGTAACTATATTATAGTGCGTTAAAATTTGTATAAATAAGCTTATCGGAAAAAATTGAGCCGTTTACTGTACATGTTTAAAATAATATAAAAAATGTTGCCCATAATTTTTTGATAATTTAGAAATGTTACATGTAATGTTTCACCCTATATTTTAAGTGAGCAATTCTTGTATATTATGTATATTATATGTAATTTGTTTCTCGGAAACGGCTCTAATGATTTGGTTGAATTAATGTTAATTAATGGATAATGTTTTACTTTAGAAGTTTATCACGTATCACGTATCTTACGTGTCATTCCTGAGAAAATTACATTATTTTCTAACGCCGAGCAAAGTTCGTCTGCCTAGGTACTTGCTAATTCAATATATGAATTAACACATTTTAATTACAATTAAAACGAGCATTTTGAACGATAATTTTCATTAAACAAGCCATATAATTATAATAAATGTTTTACAACAGAACAATATAACGTGAAATTGCATTAAAATTAATTTCTTATAACTAACTTGTAACACCAATTACCTTTCATAATATAATAATTTGATATTTTTCATTTTAATTATATGTGACACTGAGCGCCTTATTACAAAAATCAAGATAAACTCTATTATATGACTAAAATCTTGATTTTCTTTTTTCACTACAAACATTTAGTATATACATAGTATTAGTAATATAGTAAAAATCATAAACTTGATTATGAAAAGCATTTATAATACCTGTTTGTCAAAATTTCGATGCGGCAAATATTTTTATATCGTTATTATATTAATTAGTTCTAAATAGACAACTTTTTCAATACAAATTCCTTCGCATAAATGAACGGAATTCGTGCGCGTAATTAGTAACCATGACGACCATTGTTTTGTTATAGTTTCAAGATTTGAAATAGTTTCTCAGAACGGGGCATCAATTAAAAATATTAAATTACTTAAAATTATTTTAAAAATAAAAGGCACAAAAAGTAAAGTGAAAATTAATTGAAATTTATAACACGAATTGAAAGTAACAAATAGTATTATGTGTCCTCAATTATTCACTTTACTATGATGGTATAATCTGCACAGCTTTAACACCTCCAAGTCATCGAGAAAGACGACCCGTTTAATCATATGACGATTAACGCCGGAGTTTCTCAGGAGTTCGTTCTATCAGCAATCTCTTCCCGCTGCATATTAATTTAAATAAATCTGCTGCTGCTGTCCGATATCTATGGGCATGTAGACGAAAGCATATTTGTAAAGATGTACCCGCTAGCCGCATGAAAAATAGGTGACCTTGCAAGGGTGCTTCGGTACTTCACGCCGGGTCAGCATCTTACTTATAAGGTTATTTTTTAAAAAGTAGCCCAAATATAGAAATAATCATATACCGTTATTGCAGTTTTTGAAAATACCAGTAAATAAGACTTCTACTTTTATTTGAAATTATCCCAAATTGAATGTGTTTTATGGGCAACAACGTTTCTGCCTACCGATCGACCCTTACGAATGTGTGCGTACGCAGTAAAATCAGTTAAAATAATAGACTACCACGCGTTTCGAATTTAAAAGATAAAAAGGACAGAACGTTTTAGATTTTGTTAAATTCATTTTTCTTCACCATTTACCTACATTACTTATTCTGAACCTCCTCTGCAAATTTGGCCAGTTATTGCAAAATAACCCTATATAAAGCGCAAGACTGATTGTGCATGGAGTACTGCTGTCATATATGGACTGGTGGGCTCAATGGAAAGGCGTGCTATGATGCTTATTAGTGACCTTGATTTGTGTGAAACCAATCTTGTCAACTTCGAGTACAGAAGCAAAGTAGCCAACCTCTTGGTATTTTATAGGATGCATTTCGGAGACTGTGCGCAAGAATTAAATGCCTTAATTCCTTCCTAACCTTTCCACCATCAGACAAACAGGCAGTCGGCGGGTCTTCAGACATTTGTTGTTGATATTCCACTTATTCGATCTAAATTGTTTTCTTGATCGTTTTGCGTTTTCGTGATTTTCTTGATTGCGTACAATAAAGGAGTGAAATTATCTGCCGGCGTCTGTGTTCTTTGATCTTCAAGCCGAGAGTGAATAGGCTTTTGTACGCTAGAATTTCATAACTGCTCTTCCCTAGGTGGGATTTTAGTCAAGCAATGGTTTATAATAAGTCAAAATACCAAAATAAACTTTAGTCTAAATCAATTAAGCCTTAGCTGTAGTTTTAGACCATAGTCCTTTTCTTAAGATTGACCATATTATAAGTAACAAAACAATAGAAAGTGTTTCTGAAGGTGTTTGAGGTTTGAAATAGTTTCAAACCTTCATACGCCTTCTTGTTCTTTTACGCCTGTCTTTATTTTGAATAAATATTGAATATTATAATAATAAACCCAAAATTACATGAATTATATACCTTAATATATAGATACTAGAATATATAAACATAACCGAACACTCATAAATACACATAATATTATATTATTTATTATCTACTTTCAATTTTTTCGTTTCTTTTGTTCTTCCATTCAAGCATCCTTCTTCTATTGAGAATATATTTCTAGTTTTCAAAAGATATTGGTTGCTATAGTTTCGAATGTCGCACACACATTCCTTTTCTTTATTCGATGATATTGAGATGGGTCAAAAGGATACACCTATTTCAAAATTGATATTAACGATATTATAATCATTTTTCGCATTGAAACTAAGACAAATAGTAACGTTATTTATTATAATTAATATTTTTCATAATCAATCAAACAAAGGTATGATTTTCACCCGATCTGATATTAATATTTCATAAAAAAGGAAATATTGTAAGAATACAAAACACAAGTGCGCAAATGATATTTGATGGCAAGTAAGCCAACAGCAGAATTTAGGCAAAAACTAAAAGAACGGTACCAACGGACCAACGGTACTATGTGGCGTTCGCTTATTTTGTCATTTCTAGTATAGACTACTGTTCTTAATGTTCTTAGACTAAAGTGGGGTTATCTTAGTTTTTGTAATATGGCAGGGAGAGTTAAGAGTAAGTTATATTAACAAAATATTATTAACCTTATGATGGTTTAACAGAATGTAAGGAATGTTCTATATAAAAGGGATAACTTATATTGCATAAGTACATCAAGCAACATTAAAAGTTATTGTATATTATATAATAAATTTTTTAAAGATTTCTCTACAACTGACTTACTAGAAGCTCTGATTTTTAATATGTTTTATATATGATTGAAAGATTTGCAATTGTTGAAAGCTCGCATCATAAACAAAACACGTTTTAAATACATTCATACCAATTAAACTAGACGACATGATTATTTTTAACACTGATTAATAAATGAATTATACATTGCGCTTAAGCTTTTTGAATGAAATCATTTTACTTAATTATACATTTTTTTAAATGGGATATCACAACGATCATTAGCAAAACACTTTTATTTTAAGAAATTAACACATAATATATTTAATATTACATACATATATTAACCTACATAAATGGTTTACAAGGTTTTTTTTATTTTCCTTTAACCCCTATAACAACATCAATAGGCTTTAATATAAGTGATAGAGTAACTTTATAATATAATATTTTTATATACTTAATTCCAGTATTTTATCTTATCAATTTTTTTTTAATTACACGTATGTATATGTTTTTAAATAGCTGTGATAGTGATTTCAAATAAAATTCTGATAGTCTAGATGTAATAGTTCTGTATGTTGGTTAAGATAACATCAAACAATACAAACGTGAATTATTATGATCATTACACTGCACAACATAATATGTATAATATTTAGCCTCACTTGTATCAATCCGTTGCACCACAGGTTTACTTTACTTTACTCTAATTACAAGATAGAGGCTGTTATTTAATCTCACCGTTGGCTTCCATGTGTACATTAATACCAATTTCTACGCAATCACGGGATAAGAAACTGTCTTTTATTTATTTTGATGTATCCAGATACTTTTCAATAATAACATTCGTATTTTTCTAATTTCGTTTCATTTTTAATACATTTATACCAACATATCACTTCTCCTCCATTTTGTTCTCGCTGGAACTGAATTACACCATTGCCCGTCGAGAATCAAAATTCTAATTACGGGTAGTTTGGCATCCATATTAATATACTATCCGCATAGAAAAGGATACATACAAAGCAGGCCAGCGCTTATTCTTTACTGTGGTATATTATTTGATGACACTCATGAAACCGATACCGCAACGCCCGCTGGGGTTTCGCTCACCGGTAGCTGAAGCGCATAATTTGCATCGTGGTCTCCGGGTACATTATTAACGCCGATATTGGTCTCTGAATTTGGAGCTTTTGTCTCAGCTGATAGCCACAAATCAGGTGGTTCTTCAGGCGGCGCGGCGGCCGGTCTGATGTTGTCGAGCCGGGGGCGCGGCGAATAGCGCGGCGTCAGCGAAATGCCTCCGACGACTGGGTGCGATTTACGATTCCCACCTGAAGGGCGTCGAGCATCATGCGCTCGTTCTCCTGGCGAACTGCGAACAAGAAAACGGCGAGCTTAACCAGTATCGTATTAAGCAATACTATGGGACAAATTTTGCAAAGATCCAAACCCTTTACTATATCTAGCTAGGGAATTACTTTCGGTTAAACTACTTCAACTACTTCATTTCTAGAATTTAATAAGTATTTCTATTACGTATTTTATTTCTCTATGGTTCATCATTTTATCTAATCCGAAGTAAGTAAAGTTACTGTTTATATCGACGACCGTCACATTTAAAAGGGTCCATAACAAACTGCCACACTGCTCCAATGTGCAACTCAGACCACGTCGTAAAAAACACTTGAAATTGCTGATTATCACGACTATATTTATATTTGAAAATCAATTACTGTTCGTAGTCTCGCAAAAACTCTAAAATGGCTCTACCGATTTTGATGAATATTTTTAAGTGTATTTGAGTAGATCCCTGGATGGTTTAAAGCTCAGTTGGACCCTGATAGTTGGCGCTGTTTTCGACATCCAGAAATCGCTAGTATTGAATAAAACACTATTTATTGTTATTTTAAGTTACTAAAACGTAGTTTCCAAAATGAATGAATATTTTTTAACCCCTGACTGAAACAGATGGGTGTTATAAGTTTGTAATTGTAGTCTGTGTGTCTGTCTGTTGCATTGCTCCTAAAGTATGAAAAGATTTGGATTATATATTTTTTTCTTTTGAAAGGTTTATTAATTAAGATAGCTTTTAGCTATGTTTCAAGAGAATCTGTTCAACCGTTTGAAGACAATCATCTCTTTTTGTTTCGTGTTTTTTTAAATGTTTAAATGAAGTTATATTACAAAATCTAACCTTCATGCTCACCAGCCATTTTAACTTATAACGTTACAAACTGCGGTGGTTGCAGGAGATTAGGTGCTAGAGCACTTTGAGGACATTAACACCGTCCTTCATCAATCTATCCTCGAAAAATAGGTATATGTTAGTCGGCATTCACTATTGGGAATAAGGTATATATATATATACTAGTAAAGAATGAAATCAAACATCTTCAATTATAGTCCATTCACTGTACATAACAGTAGCATTTTAAAGAACTACAAATTCATTACCTACAACGCAGCAGTAAATAACTCGTACTATCCTATCCCTTGCGGCTAATGAATTTGAATCTCAACACTTTCAAAACCAAATCACATAAGGACACGTGACCAGTGAAAACGAGTCGGTAAGCAATGTTTTAATATTTATCAAATAAAAGGTACGAAAAGACAATTTAGAAATATATAATAACAAAAATTTAAAGTTGAAGCTGCCATAAATGAATGAACAACAGAAAAAGCCAAAAGCTTTTCTTATAAATGAAATTTATTGCAGTTGTTTTGAACTTGTTTCAAAAAGTATTTCAAGGCTATATTTCATTATTACTAAATGAATCATGCAGCTTATACCTGATAATGCAAATAGACATACGGAGAAGTAGTCATGTGCCTAGTCGCGGTGTAAGAATATTCACTAACCCATGTCGTCTCGTGGGTGTCGTAATAGGTGACAAAGGGAAACTGAACTAGGAAATAGGCAGCAGAAAATTCCTGATAACAACGAAATTACAAAATACTGCTGTTGCCAGCCCGCTCGCCAAGCGAGACAACTATGGCAACATCCTCCCAATGAGTCAATCTATGGAGGAGGCTTATGTACAGCAGTGGACTGTTATAAGCTGTAATGGGTATAATGGGTCAGCGTAACAAAGCAAGTAATACATCATCATCATCATCATCATTACAGCCCTTCACAAGTCCACTGCTGAACATATGCCTCCCCCAAAGAATGCAACAAAGCACGGTCCTGAGCCACCTGCATCCATCGACTTCCTGCATGTCTTACCAGGTCGTCACTCCATCTCGTGGGGGGACGCCCTACACTTCGCCTACCGGTACGAGGTTGCCACTCGATAAACCTTTCTTCCCCATCGGTTGTCGATTCTTCGAGCTATATGGCCGGCCCACTGCCACTTCAGCTTACTAATCCGTTGGGCTATGTCGGTTACTCTGATTCTACTGCGGATATCCTCATTCCTAAGTTTATCACGCAGAGAAACTCCGAGCATAGCCCTCTCCATAGCTCGCTGAGCGACCTTGAACTTCCTCATAGCAGTGAAGAACCACGTCTCAGTTCCGTAAGTCATCACTGGGAACACGCACTGGTTGTACAATTTCGTTTTCAGGTTTTGAGGTATGTCTGACGAGAAGATGTGTCGTAGCTTCCCGAACGCTGCTCAGCCGAGTTGAATCCGTCGATTGACCTCTCGGTCGAAGTTGGACTTACCTAGTCGGACTATTTGTCCCAGGTAAACATACTCATCAACAACTTCGAGCTTAGTGCTCCCAACAACTACCGGCATAGGTGTGACATTGATATTAAACATGATCTTTATTTTGTCCATGTTTATCTTAAGACCTATCCGTTGAGAGACACTATTGAGGTCATTGAGCATAGCGCTTAGGTCCTTCAGCGATTCTGCTATAAGGACTATATCGTCGGCAAATCGAAGGTGAGAGATGTACTCGCCATTGATGTTGATACCGTATCCTTTCCAGTCCAAAAGCTTAAAAACGTCTTCCAATGCAGCGGTGAAGAATTTTGGGGATATGACGTCACCCTGTCTTACACCTCTCTGCAATTGGATAGGTTTCGTACGCTGGTTCTGTACTCGGATAGCCATCGTAGCCCTACTGTACAAGCACTTCAACACTTCGATATACCGACAGTCAACTTGGCACCGCTGAAGGGACTGCACCGCCCAAATTTCGACGGAATCAAAGGCTTTCTCATAGTCCACATACGTCAGACATAGTGGCAAATTGTACTCTTCGGACTTCTGTACAATTTGCCGAAGGGTATGTATGTGGTCTACGGTGCTAAAGCCCTTTCGGAAACCGGCTTGTTCGGGAGGCTGGAAGTCGTCAAGTCTGCGCGCGACACGATTCGTAATGACTCTCGAAAACAGCACGTAGACGTGGCTCAGAAGGGAAATTGGTCTGTAGTTCTTCAAGAGAGCGTTGTCACCTTTCTTGAAGAACAAGACCACCGCACTTCTGCTCCACGCCTCCGGTGTAATGCCACCATGGAGGACGGAATTAAAGAGCTTCTGAAGGACTTCAAGTACCGGTCTTCCACCCGCTTTCAGAAGCTCCGCTGTAATTCCATCTTCGCCTGGGGCCTTACCGTTTTTAAGGTGCTGGAGAGCCATTCTAATCTCGCTCAAACTGACGTCCGGGATATCTTCGGAATAGTGTCGGATGAGACTCGCTCTTGGATCGTTACTCACACTTGCGTGTGGCTCCAACGATGACGTGGACAGCTGCCCATAGAACCTCTCAATCTCACTCAAAATCTCAGGTGTCCCGGAAACGATGCTGCCACATTCTGTCTTCAGCTTTGACAGTTGGCTCTTTCTGGCAGACACATCTCCGGCAAAGACTTTGGAGCCTTGGTTCCGCTCGATCGCTTCTTCAATACGAGCTGTATTGAAGTTGCGTAAGTCCCGCCGCATGCATTTGGAGATCTGTCTGTTCAGATGCCTGTATGCTGTCAAGTCTGTTGAAGAATGTAGCTTCATCTCCCGTCTAACGGCCATGAGATTAAGAGTGTGATCGGAGAGTTATTGTGTTCTTCTGCGGCGGGGCTTGCAGAACTTAGCTCCGACCGCATGGACAGTTTCTACGAGCTTGTCATTCATATCGTCCACTTCATTGCAGTCTTCTAGGCACTGAAAATGGTTTTCTAACTCGAGCTGAAAGGTTTCGGGACTTTGGAACAGAGCACGAGGGGGACGGAGCGTTGACTTCATTAGACGAGATCTCTCCAATTTAACGTTTAGGTTCAGTCTGCCTCTAACCATTCGGTGATCGCTACCAGTTTTCACCCTCGCGATCACGGAGACATCACTGAACAGTTGTCGTCTGGTCGTCATAATGAAGTCAATCTCATTTTTTGTCGAACCGTCGGGGCTCGACCAGGTCCACTTCCTGTGGGGCCGCTTCTGGAAGAAAGAGTTCATCATAAAGAGTCCCTCTTTCTCCATGAAGTCGGCCAGCTGCTGGCCCCTTGGGTTCCGTTGCCCTATTCCAAATTTTCCCACTTCCAGCTCACCGTTCTCTCTTGTGCCTAGTTTTGCATTGAAGTCTCCCATTAACACCGTATATTGGGTTTTGGAGGAATGCATGTCTCTAGAGATATCCTCATACATTTCCTCCACCTCCTCATCGGGGTGTGGCGAGGTTGGTGCTTAAACCTATATGACCTTCAGCGAATACCGTTTGGTGATTCTGAGTATAAGGTACGCAACCCTCGTCGACACACTCCCGATCTTTACAACGTTGTTAACGAGAGACTTGTGGACGATAAATCCAACACCTCCTTGGGACAGATGGTCGCCCTCCCGGTAATAGAGCAAGTTGCCGGATTCGAGGATTACCGTGTTTTCCCCCTCTCTTCGGACTTCTGATAATCCTATAATATGCCAGCGCAACTTGTCTATCTCTTCTTCCAGCTCCACGATAGTCTCGTCAGTCCTCAGGGTGCGTGCGTTGTATGTTGCCAGGTCGAGTCGTCTAAGGTGGCAACCGAACCTCCACCGGAGATTCTTAGCACCCCCTGCCTCGCCGTTACCATGGTCGCCACCGTAGCCAGGAATAGCGGGGCCGCCGATGACTGGGGGCAGTCTGTTTGTTGCTTTAATCATTGGGGGGTATTTGCCATAGTTGCCACGCTTGGCGAGCGGGTTGGCAACCGCAGTTTTTTTATTGTAATTTTGGCTATTATCAGGAAGATGCTGCTGCCCATCTCCTGCCTGTTTCCCTTTGTCGCCTTTTACGACACCCACGGGAGGATATGGGGTAGTGGATATTCTTGACCGCCACTACACGGCAGTAATACATCAGTATTGCAGAAGTGATGTGGTGAGGGTATACCTATATATTTAAATCTCTTTGGGTCAGGATATTTATCTCAACTTTACGGCTGAT